GTTATCACTCTTCTGGATTGTTTTATTCTCAAAACATAAAATCGCCAAATTTTAGATTTAAGAAGAGCCTGCGATCATTCCAGTTCACTCCACCTATGTGATTAGTTTAAGAACTCATTACCAAGATGGTGCCTATCTTGCCTGCAGATCTTTGCATAAAGCTCAAACTAATTCCCCCACAAGAAATATAGAAAAGTGAAGAAGTGTCCTATCATTTCAGAAGAAACTGGCTTGGATGAAATAATCTCTATATGCAGTGTTGAAACTAAAGAAAAATTGAAGCCATCAAACAAACAAAATGTTCCTATCAAGTGTAACTGAATTTTAGCTTTTATTACCTATTCTCTACTTTTAAAATAACTTTTCGCTATTAAAGGAACGTATTCCAAAAATCAGAAAATTTTATAGAAAAGGTATATTCTAGGCGAATAATATTAAATCACTTACCTAGAAAATATACCTTCTTCCCTTTTCAAAAAATAGCTGCAATTTCTAGCAGTATATGTGAATCTAGTGTTGGGCATAAGCTTAAGAAGGCATTGGAGGAATTTTTTATTACTAAGAGTTCATTCACAAACTTTGCTTGTCTGTGTTGAAAAGTGGCATTGGCCATTTCCTCTGGGGACATTATTTCTAGGTAGGCTGTAACAGGGTTTTCCTGTGAAGGCAGATTCTTAGGGAAAATAGTATCTGTGTGCATGAGATGGTAGAGACACATTTATCTTTAAAATAAATGTTCCTATTTGTGAATTTCTCTACTGCATTTAATAAAGTAAATAATGCCCATTTCCTTTCAATCCAGTAACTCCTTGGGACACAGTTTTACCCAGGAGCTATTTTACCTTTGAGTCTGGATGAAACATGTAACTTAATAAACTCCAAAAGTCTTACACTATAAAACTCTGAGGGATGATAAATGCTTCCCTTCCTTTGTTACGGTCTGAAGCATTTTCAATCTGAGTTGTTTTCCTCAGTCATGTAGAGGGAGTTTTGTTTTCTGGGAAGTCTTGGTTGCTGGTAAATAATGTGTCCAAACTGTAGGAGGCAGCCACAAAATTTATCATACAAGTATGAAAGGTTAGGGTTGAAAGGCTGAGATCCTAAAATCATGCATCATTTTCATTTTACACAAGAGAGGTGATGTAACTACACAGGAGAGTGAGAGCCGAGAATGAAAAGTCAAGATTCATCTACTACATAGTGGCTGCCTCTGGCTCAACAGAAACACTCCCATGTGGGAGTCAGTTGCTGAAAACCCAACTAAGCCTAGCTCCTCAACTGTCTCCTCAGGCTTCACTTCAAACATAATTCATATCTATTCTATTTCTTAATGTGTCTCATCACACAGTTAAACGCTAGTCATACTAACTCAACTCTACATATACTAGAATGTAAAAGATACCCTTCCACCCCCCGCTGTCTGCTCCTTGAAGGCCATGTCTGCCTTTCTTAGTTTGTACAGAGCCCAACATAAATGGGCCCTTCATACGTGCTTTTTGATGAGAGCAATGATTGCCTTCACGTCAGTGTGGTTGGGCCCTCCCTTATGGAGGAGGAAAACCAACAGTTGTTGCTAAGCAACATTTAAAGGACTAGGTTAGTTTCTGACACTAAGTGACCTCCATTTGCATACTTCGCCATGTTGTGTGTTTTATGATTGCCTTAAGATGACTTTGTTTTTTGGTGGCATTGCTATATGCCCTTAGCAAAAGGCTCCTAGGAGAACTAGTTTAGGCCTGGAAAGGAGGAAGGTGATATTCATCTGTTAATGACTTAGATGAGTACGCTGATCCTTTCAGTAAACTATGCAGGAAAGGTGAGGAGTTTGGTTTATTTTCAGCCCTGCAGCTGAGAGCCACCTCCCTGTTCCCATATTGAAAGTGATTGACAATGTATCCCAACAGGGTCCTGTGGCAATGGGAGGCTATAGGAAGAAAATAAACAGAGAAGTCTTTCCTCTTATAGCCTTTTATGATTCAATTTCTACCTGCTCCTATCTTCTGAGCAGAGATGCTGATATAGCTAATAAAGAACTGGCCCCACCCTCTCCAGACTGTTTGCTGTTGTGGTTAAACAACGTGCCCTAATATATCTATTCCTACTAGAATGAAAGCTGATTAAAAACATGAAAAGAGTTTTTGTTTGTTCCTTTGTTTTTTTCACTGCTATATCATCACTCTTTTCCCTGGTCATTTTAGGTATTCAATAAATGGTTGACAAATAAGTGAAAAAAAAGGGGATTATTGAACTAATACCAACCTGATTGACTCTAAAACATTCCTAAGTGTTTCAGAGAGACTAAAGAAGCCAAAATGAGATAACTGTTTGAATGTTATATTTGCCTAAGTCTAGTGCAGAGAAAATTATGGAAGAAATCATCTGTCTCTAAGCTTTTTACAAGATATGTTTACAATGATTCAAGTAAAGTTTACTTCTTCCCCAAAATTCAGCTTATTGGTCAGAGCAATAAACTTGTCTTCTTCAGCTTCTGAGTCTTCAGCCTAAGTACCTGTCTTTTAAGGATTTAAGATGAGAGGCCATTGTGACTGAGCAGTTGTATCTTTAAAACTAAATAATTTGGAAGTCATGCGATTCACAGATTCACCTGGGGTTCAAAATTGCACGGAGGTTCAATAAGTAAAATACGCTAGCTGAGATGATTGATTCAGAGATGCCTGGTTACTAACATATTGTATCATCATAGGAAACACACCCACATACACAAGTAGGGTTACCCAAAAAGAGGGTGATTGGACATCTTTGAGAACAATGCATGGTGCAGTGCGCCGGCAGGCAGAAATACTGACTTGCATTGGCTTCACCTCCAAAAGCCAGGTCTCCTAGGCACAGGCCATGGCGTAACCCCGGGCTTGGATACTTGAAATAAAGCTATTGTTGGATGCTGATGCTCATTTGAAAGGGGAATGGCTCACAGGAAAAAAAGCCAATTGCAAGTCGGGGTTGTTGCCGTGGTGCTTTGCTACTCCTTCAACTTGCTATAAATGAAATTATGGGAGTACAGGGGTAGGATAACAGAGGGGAGAGATGAGGAGGGAAATGGGATGAGCCTGGGGCAGGGAATCCCACTGCAGTAAAGCTCTAGTGTTTCCCCTTGCCTGTACTCTAATGCTGACAAGGAGAAGGGAGGGGCTGGGAAGAAGGGAGAGAGAAACATGCACGGAAGAAATGACTTTCTCAACATACTCTGGATGGCTAAAATAAAATAAAAATTAATTTAAATCCTCAGAGTTCTAATGTGAGTTAGAAGAGGTAACACTAAATCTCAAACAATTCACCATTCTTTCAGTTATGACTGTTCATATTTCCTAACACACTCTGGATCTTAGATGGAAAGGTTAAAAGAGTTTAATACATTTGTCGAATGCAATCTAATATGCATATCAATGAGCTAATGGAGGGCAGAAACTTACACGCTGCATAGGAAGTACTTTTCAAATGAAATAAATTAATTCCATTCCCATTCATTTTACTATGAAAAGAGGCTAAATGCATTGGCACACGCTTGGTGTGCGACAAATAATCCTCCAAAAAGCTAGTTCACAAAAATTATTGTGTACCGGCAAGCCTAGTCTGAAAACAGCCACGGTCCTAACCTTTTTTAAATGTTTGTTTAAATGTTCAGAAAGTCGATTCATGAAATGCATCATCACTTTGATCCATTAGAGCAGCTGGATTTTTGTGCAGAGGCTGCATCTGCAGAATTCTGGTCTGCAGTGGAGAGAGAGGGTTAAGGAACACCTAGTTGAAATGGGGGAGGGTACCGACTTCAGATTTACTTAAATATTCATGGGGCTTCCTCCATTTTAATCTTCTCCTTTTTAAAAGATGGCTGTGTTTCCTAGTCTGGCAACTCCTCAGGAAAGAAGAATTGCTTCTTCCTTGCAGAGTTCGGCTGAGTAGGACTAATGTAGAAGAGTGGAAACCCCTTCGGCCACCAGGACTATTCATAATTCATAAGTGCTTCAAACCAGCCAGCTGAATACATTTGGACAGGCTCTTGCTCCTTCGTGCAATTCCTGATTTCATTGCTCTCTTCTGCCAGGAAATAAGCAGGGAGCATAGGCTTCTTGCAAGAATGGAGTGCGAAGATGGGCTTTGTTTGGCTTAGGAAATGCCATACATTTTGGAGGTTTTGTCTTTTCTAAGTTTTGATTATTTTATCACTGGATCTGCAGGGCTTTCCTGATCCTTTCGGGATTGCTCTCTCAGAACCGTGAATTCTTTCAAAGGGATTTGTGGATTGTGGCAAAGAAAGCATTCCAAAATGCCTGAGGCAAATTATTTGTTATCTGTATCTTGGGGTTACATCAAGGTGGGTTAATTTGATTGTGTTCTGTGTCTTTGATAAAATGTGAAACATGTATCTGTGTGTGTGTGTGTGTGTGTGTGTGTGTGCGCGCGCGCGTGTTTTGTGTGAAGTAGAGGACATCTGTAATGATTTAATTTGTGTGTTCATTTAACCCACTGGGACCTCTTATTTTGAAATAAGAGCATGTTATATTACATTTTATTTACGTGTACTATGCTGTGTTTTAACCCTATTCTTTTTACTCAATTCTGTTTTTTAAAAGATGCTTCTTTTTTTTCTTTTTCGCTTAAACTTTTCACATATAATCTCCTGTCACCAAATAGGTTATTAAATTATATTTTAGAGGTAATTTCAGACAAATGTATTTTTAAAAGTAGTTACAGTTTCAAGTGGAATTATCTTGACATCTATTAAAATTCCTTTTCCTAGGTTTGCATCTTCAAAAGTAATCAGTTGTTAATTCTAAGAAATCTTAAGAAAACCTCTTTTCCAAAAGTGACGTTGGAATAATTTCAAGTTGAAGAGATACATTTTTGTAGAAACAGTACTATTTATCTAATGGTATCTGCTCATCCAACCTCTTGATTCCTGGACAGTAAAGTTGGAAACATTTAAAGTGAACATTTGCTCTTTTGAAAATGGTTAATGCATTTTTGTTCTTTATAAACAGTTCAAAAGAATGCTGAACCGGGAGCTGACACACCTCTCAGAGATGAGCCGGTCAGGGAACCAGGTGTCTGAATACATTTCAAATACTTTCTTAGGTAAGATAATAACTGGGAAAAACCTGTTTTATAACTGGGGTTTTCGGAATTAATTTCTACAATCTATCAAGGACATCCCCATGTGAATTGGGGATGGAGTTGAGTCATATAAAAATCCATTTAAAATAATAACTAAGGCCAGTCTTCAAAAGAAAAAAAAAAGCAGAAAGATCATGTTTTTGAAAAAAAGAATTAAAATACCCATCCAAGACAGAGGGTTATTATGGGCTAACTGTATTTAAACGGCCCTCAGCCCCACCTTGTCTGCCTGCCCACTTCCATCTTTGCTAAGACCTCTGAAGTAATGAGGGAAATCCAATCACCCAAGCCCTAGAGACAGCTCCATTGGCTCCTCTGACATGGTAACCTTTCAATTCCTTCAATAACTGAGCTTTGAGCAAAAGGTTTCCTCTATGATGTTTTGTAGGGGATATGCTTGAGGAATAATTCCATGGTGATTTGGTCCATGAGAATAAGCTTTGGGAATAATTTGACTATTGCTTTGCTAAGTTATTTATTAAAGATAAATGGATGGTATGGGGAGAATTTTAATACTATCTTAAGGATTTCATATTCTGCAAGCAGCCTTATTCTCTTTCCCATCTGATGCTTTATCCATTATTCTGTTGTTACATTACTGGTATTTAACACATGATACTGACCAAAAAGGATTGCATGAATGGTCCTCAACTATTGTCATACATGTTATTTGATTATTTGGGATTTTTGAATTCAGTCTTAAAGGCAACTTTTGTATAATGAACCTATTAGGACAATTTTGATTTAAGAAGTCTTACAGAATCTGCAGATCTGTGCATCAAAGTAAATGGATAGCATTTAGATTCTGATTTTGTTGACTTTAAATTGCTGCTGAATTATGCTTGCTTATGAAACCTCATTTTCCAGGGAAGTGACCCACTCTCACAGCTGAACATTGCATCCTTTCTTCTTTTTTGGAATAGCCATATAGCATTAAATCAATGAGCATTTTCCTTGACGTGTGGGAGTGCAGAAGACAAGAGTAGAGATTTGGGAACCTCCTCCTAGATTTCAGAGGATCTATGGAAATGCTTGTGTATATGTGCATATTTTCTTTAGCCAGTCTATCATTGATGGGCATTTAGGTTGATTCCATGTCTTTACTATCCTGAATAGTGTTGCAATGAACATAAGTGTACATGTGCCTTATTGAAACAAATACCTCTTCTGGTTTTATTTCTAAGATCAATCCTATTTCTCTAACACCAAAGCAGTTCTTGCTATCAGCAGATCAATCAGCCCTCTCTTTAAGCAGCCTCTTACAGAGCTTACTGCATTACTCTGCAGTGGATGGTCACCAGACATGATTAACAAGTGCCTTTCTAACAGTTTCTAGTATGTGAGTGTCTGCAGCACTTAATTTTCTCCAGCTGCAGTTGCAACGCCTTTGTCAGAGAACAAAGGAGAAGAATTTTCATCCATCCTAGCTCCTAGAGGTGCCTAGAAAGTAACTCTACAGAAAACATTAAATACTGATCCTTTTCTTCTCCTTTAATACATTTGAAGAAAGGGATCTTCTGCTGAGCATTTCAGATATACCCTGCTCTGTGTAGTGCCCAATGATTTTTCATTAGCTGGAAGCTGTTTTAGGGACATTTTACAGGTTAATGACTGTGGGAGACGAGAATAAAACCAAAACTGCAAGAACCCATTTTTGTCTTCATAAGCATTGCATTTTAAAATATGAGGGCTTGCGGACTTCTCAGAAGAGATTCTCACTACTGTAGTTAAAGTTATATGAAGTCTCTGAACCCTTAATCATCCAAGACTGGACTTAAGCAGTCCTCTTCATTTGTAGTCTCTTTCAATATCTGCTTACCAAGGACAACAAGAATATCTTAGTCCACTAATTAATCTTTTTTATCACCATAGGCTACCAAGAAAGAAAGGTGATAAGATAATAAAGATGATTCATTCCTCAGAGTAGGAAAAAATAAAAAGAAAAAATTTAAAAGATGCTAAATATGAGCTCTGAGTCTCAACACTGTCCAAGATGAGGCAAATGTCAACTCTTTCTTGCCTATTGTGCTTGCTATTTAGGCAGATCTCTTGAGCAAAACCAGTCATTTGGCTTCTCATTGTTCCAAAAATTAAATTCAAGAACAAATTGTTGAGGAAGGTTATTAGAATCTCAATCCTTGTAGACTCAGCATTAAGAGGGTGGTGTGTGTCAGTGGGTATATATGTTTGAGGGTATATGGGGTAAACCCCATCAAATAGACTAGACAGGCAGATTGGAATTTTAAATGTTCTTGAGAAGATATAGGAAGAAAAAACCTATAATATGAACAAAAGATGCATCAGTTGTCTCACTTGTAAAATGGGAGCACTGGTATAGATGACATCTCAAATCCCTTCCAACTCTAACTTCCTATAACTTTGATATGAACTGAGTTTATCAGTTTTGCTAAGACATACCTGGCCATCTGGATTCTCTGTGGTGAACCCTCGGCTTGTAATTTGACAATCTCAAAAAACAAATAAATGAAGTTTGTTTCCAGACTGACAGTGAAGGGCATGGAACTCTTAGTTTTATCCTGTGAGCATGATGAATGTTCCCAGAAGACCATGAAGCCTTCTTCATAAACCTTCTGATCTGCATGGGACCCTAAAACCTTGTAGTCCAATTCCCTCATTTTATAGGAGAGAAAACAGAGGACCCAGAGGGATGAGGTAACTTGACCAAGATCACTTGGCTAATACATTCCTCAGCCAGAACTAGGACTTGGCTCTCTTGACATCTAGACCTAAACACCCTGTCAATCCTTTAACGAGGAAAGAAGGCTGTTAGGAACACAGAATATATAGAACAAAATCACATAAGGACTCTTAAGTAATACATACATCATTTTGGAAACAAATCTTTAGGAATCAGGATTGTGGGACCTAAAAATAAAATGTTTATTAACAGGCCAGGCATGGTGGCTCACGCCTGTATCCAGCATATTCAGAGGCCGAGATGGGCAGATCACCTGAGGTCAGGAGCTCGAGACCAGCCTGGCCAACATGGTGAAACCCCGTCTCTACTAAAAATACAAAAATAGCTAGATGTGGTGGTGCATGCCTGTAGTCCCAGCTACTGGGGAGCCTGAGGCAGGAGAATCACTTGAATCCAGGAGATGGAGGTTGCAGTGAGCCAAGATCACACCATTGCACTCCAGCCTGGGCGAAAAGAGCAAAACTCTGTCTCAAAAAAAAAAAAAAAATGTATTAACAGTTTCTAATAATATAAAAGTTTCCTGTAAGACCTTGGCAACCACTTCAGTGAGCATAAAATAAGATCTTAGCAATTTACCTTAAACTTGAAGAGCAATATCTCACTAAGAGTCATTAAATGTTAAAAATGTGTCATCCAGGTAGGAGGGAAATCCCTTAATCCAGAGATATGTGAAACTTGTGTTGCTCGTATCTTAAAAAAAAAAAAAAAAAAGTGATGCAGGAGGACAGGGAGAAAGGCAGGCAGCAGACTATATTTACCAATCCAGGCACTCATTGATGCTGTGATAGAATAGCCTCCAGGTTGCTGGTACAAGGGGAAATAGAAGTGTCTAATTTCAAGGGAAATAAAGCAGGACGTAGGGAGAAGGAGAATAAATAATACAAGATTTTTAGATGTTATATTACAATTTAGTTAATATTTTCATGTACAGAGAAAAGTTATCCTTTTAAATCTTCTACTTACCATCTCAAAATCTAGAACTTAGAATTTTCAAGATGTAAGGAAAAGAGCTTAGGAATTTTGCATAATTAAAAAGTGTGATCTAGCAAAACAGGAACCTCAAATTAAGCCATTAACAGAATTTGGATGAGACTATTTTTTGTATCTGCTTTTTGTTTGTTTTATACAGGCTGGCTGTTTGCTCACTGTTTTCTGACTATTCCATAAATGTAAATTCACTCAGTGTGTTTATTGTGATTTCTTCGAGTCTGAGTTTCTGATTATTTCCACACTGTGCTGGCTAAGCATTTAATAGAGGAAATTCAGAATAGGGAAACCTATTAGTTGTTCCAGTGCCTGCATAGGGAAACACCTATTAATGTCAAATTGGCACTATTTGTGAATAATGGTCTTCTTCATCATTGCCGTGTTCCAGACACAGTAGTGGTTCAGCTCAATTACTCACTGTTGCGGGAAATCTTTAATTAAACAAAGGGAAAAGGCTGCTAGTCCTACTAGAAATGGTTATATGTGCAGTGACACAGGAGAATCTACGAGCCTCTTTAACTGGAGGTGAAGAATGGTGGTTAGAAAGGCAGGCCCTGTGGTGGCCTTTCATTGTAGCAAAAAGTAGTAATTATTAGGAGTAAAGTGACAGGGAGAAAAGTAATTTCAAACTAATATAAAATACAGTTTTTATGCCGGAGATTGTGTGGCAGGAAAGAGATTTTTAACAGGAACCTCAAGGCCTGGGTTCTATGCTATTAAATCACTGTGTCTGGAGCAAAGTAATTGCAAAATAAATATCTGTTAAATAAATTGCCCTTTGAGCTTGGGCAAGTTGCTGACTTCATCTGAAAAATGAGAGTGTGGGATTGTTATTGGTTCTCAAACCTGGCTCTGATTAGCCAAGTCACTCGGGAATCTTTTAAGAAAATACTGATTCAGTAGGGTTGGGTGGGGCTTATAAATCTGTATTTTTCTGAAGTTTCCTGGGTGCTTCTGATGCTGGACTAGGTTGGAAACCCCTAAACTAATTGAGATGACCACTAAAATTCCTCCCTAAGCAAAAGTCGTAGGCTTGTGAGTGTAGGAGCTTGTGTGACACCTAGAAACAATATTGATATGTCAGGGATGGAGAATTCCCTTGCTTCGGCCCCACAGAGAAGAGGTGAGGTATACACAAAGCTGGTACTGTCTCACTGTGCTTGCTTTGCTCTGATGAAGTGTCCACAGGGGCCTATGAGCAGCCAGAGGTCTCTGGGGAAAACATGTGACTGTGCCATTGTCTGCAAGAGTCAAAACAAATCGTCTAGATCCCAAAATGCCATCTGGGAGCATGTCATTTTCAAATGGCAAAGTTGTCTTCCTACTAATTTTCACTGTAACTAGCAGAGGTAAATGTAGGTACTTTTGAAAGCTGCATTAACTCTTTCAGCCACAGGATGTCATTTAGTTCAATAAAGTAGTTTTTATGCAATTTAATAATTGCCTCTGTGCACCCACCAGCATCTCTGTGGCCTGAAAGAGTTAACACATTTTTTCAGGATTACTGAGCATACATCTCCCTGTGAAGTGAAATGGAATATTTGATTGCTGATATTTTTAACAGCACAATGTAAAGGAAAGAGCTTCTATAAGCAGGTAGGCACATTTTTTTTTTCACTGATCCAAGCTCTGCCCATACCTTGTTGTAACACAAGTTTTAAAAATATTATGAAATATCATAAATATGTAATAACCTTAAGTGTGTTAGTAAGTGTAATGCTTATTACAAATGAGAGGCCTTATTATTACTTATTAGTAGAATTAATAGACACAAGGCATGAAATAAAACTGAAATTATATTCTTCCTCTAAACCTCAAAGGGTAATAAACCAAGTCCTTAAAGTAATTGTTTGAGGATTATGACCCATTTCTACTTCTAACATATATACTGCTTATTTAAACTGAGCCCTGCTAAAGCCATATGGATTTTTAAATTTTTTAAGTAAAGATAAGATGAGCAGATCATGAAACCTGTTTTTATTAATCTGATGAACATTTTATTATACAAAAATATGTTAATCACTTTATTTAAAAAATCTACATATAAATATTGGTGCTCCACCTTGCAAGTGTATAAGGGTAATTCTCCTAAATTACACTGAAAACAGAAGATTTGGTCTTGGGTCCTATTTTTCTTGCTTTCTGGGCAAGTTATTTAGTTCCTCTGGGCTTTAATTGGCCTAGCAATAACATGGAACAACAAATCTTCTTATCATTCTCAACAAATTTTATATATTCCCCACTTACTTCATAGAACTACTCTAGAGATACAGTGAAATAGTGCTATAAGATTTTATAAGATTCTAAAGCTGTTACAGATGGTTAGAGTTGTTTTGAATATTGCAGTGGATTCTCATAGACACGTGTGCTGAAAAACATTTTCCTTTGTCTGTTGCAGACAAGCAGAATGATGTGGAGATCCCATCTCCCACCCAGAAAGACAGGGAGAAAAAGAAAAAGCAGCAGCTCATGACCCAGATAAGTGGAGTGAAGAAATTAATGCATAGTTCAAGCTTAAACAATACAAGCATCTCACGCTTTGGAGTCAACACTGAAAATGAAGATCACCTGGCCAAGGTGTGTATAAGCTCAGGTTTTGTGCATGTAGCTCTCTGCTTTACAGCAGACGCATGACCGTATACCTTTTAGAAAACAGTAGGGATTGCTTTTGCATTATTGTGTTAGGGAAGCTCATATGAAATGAGTTTACTGTGAGCAGTAAGGCCTTCTGAAAGCTGTCATTAGAGGAAGGTTGATTAAACATGAGACCAAGTCTTGGGGGAGAGCCTGGATCTCTTATGCTGGTAGTTATTAAGAATGCCATTGTTGGGGTATGTAATGGAAGATCCTTTTTCCATACCAAAGAACCACTTTTTTTGTTTTGTCTTGAGTTAGGTTTGCTATGGACAGTTCCTTATGAATGAAGAATCCTTCTGAAGAGACATGGGGAAAATCCCAGGAAAGGTCAATAGGCAGGTCTCAATTATCCCAGAGGACATTTCAGGGACTGTATGCTGAGGACCAATGGGAAAATCTGCACTAATCGGTAGTGCTGGAAAAGAAATAAAGAGAAATTGACAGCACTGACTCTGGAGCCCAAACTCCAGTAGTGGAGGGAGGCATAGAAAGAATTCATACATCCTTTAGGAGGCCACACAAGGTGACTACTGAGGTCCTCTCAACTTTGTAAGAATATGAAATCAGCTTACTGTGAGCAGTAAGACCTTCTGAAAGCTGCCATTAGAGGAAGGTTGATTAAACATTAGGCCAAGTCGTGATGGAAAGCCTGGATCTCTTACTCTGGGTAGTTGTTAAGAATGAAATAAATTGGTCCTTAAATCAGATAACCTTGGAATAATCTCACAACACAGGACTGAGTGATGTTTCTTCCAGGTCCATCTGTGGCCCAGAAGCCCTAGGATATAATTTATGACTGGCATTCTTCATGACCTTTTACATTAAATTGGGTTGACTTATGCACATTCTGACAGCTGAGTCTTCCTGATCTGGCTTTCAGTGATGATAACCAAAGGGCAGAGGAGTTTTCCCTGAGACTGATTTTCGAGCTGTTACTAATGGGCCAGTAAGCAGCAAGGAGAGAGACAGGGAAATTAAACTAGAGTGATCTCTGTTCACTTGTGGCCACTTTGAAAGCAACGTTGGTTGAAGACTGATGCATGTCCAATATAGGTCAGCAACTAAATTTATAAATAGATACTCTCCTTTTTCTGAATAAAAAAATGTTCAGAAATTTATAGCTATCCTGAAGAGGACACACGACCTCCTAGGCAATTTAACTTTCAGATTTTCATGCAACCGAAGCGCTCTAAGGAGCCACTCTAAAGACTTAAGCAGCCAGTGTCCAAAAAATAAATTAAAAGAATGAGGCATGTGAGCACAACTTTCCTTATTCCTAAATTCCTTTAAATTTTTAATTGCAGGAACTGGAAGACCTGAACAAATGGGGTCTTAACATCTTTAATGTGGCTGGATATTCCCACAATAGGCCCCTAACATGCATCATGTATGCTATATTCCAGGTGAGTGAACAGGAGTGAATGCTGGCTTTCCAATTGGATGGCTCTTTATGATTTTTTTTTTCTATCTTGCTTTTCTGATTTAACTTTCCTCCACTTTGGACATCTACTTATTTATGTTCTAATCCATTTTACAACATAGGAAAGAGACCTCCTGAAGACATTCAGAATCTCATCTGACACATTTATAACCTACATGATGACTTTAGAAGACCATTACCATTCCGACGTGGCATATCACAACAGCCTGCACGCTGCTGATGTAGCTCAGTCAACCCACGTTCTCCTTTCTACACCAGCATTAGACGTGAGTAGTTATGATCTGTTTTGCATTCCTGCCCATCCTCCTTCAAAAATGCCATACCAGCTAGATGTAGTAGCATGTGCTTGTAGTCCTAGCTACTCGGGAGGCTGAGTTGGGAGGATTGCTTGAGCCCAGGGGTTCAAGGTTACAGTGAGCTATGACTGCTCCCCTGGACTCCTGCTTGGGCAACCCTGTCTCTAAAAAAAATAAAAACAAAAAAAAAAATGTTTTAAGTGCCTTACAATATGCAATATACTTACAAAATTAATGTGATTAGACCACATTGCATACTTGAACTGGTTCTTTATAAAATGTATCACATCCATTAACTGAGCTATTTATAAAAAATGAATGACATTTCTACTTGCTTTGCTTTCTAATATCAGAGTAACCTTCCCTTTACATCTCTTACTATTAAAAGTATTTAACTATAAGGCAATTAACAGGATTTCAGGGCAGGAACCATGTCTTATTCTTCATTGTATTTCTAGTAAGGGATGCAATGTACCTCAAAATGTCTTGTTCAGTGTCTGGTAGATAGTATATTCTCAGTATGCAATTACTTATCTGAACTGCCCAACACCACCCTAGGTATATACAGAGCACTATATTCCCAGGGGGGTATCGCAGAACTATAAAATACTCTCTACATTTCTTATTAGTAGTAAATATTCAGAGGCTTTTTCTCCTAAAAAATTATAAAACTGATGCTGTGTATTGAAGAAATAGTAACTAAAAATCTAGAACAGAAGAATTAATAATGCTGAAACAAGGAGAAACAATATTCATAGTTTGCCATACTAACTCTGAGAAGGTGGCTGTAGCTCCTTCTTTCACAGATTAATGCATTTGTGTATGCCAATATAATCAACAATGTATGCAGCAGGTCATACTCTTACTTGACAAATGAAAATGATGGTCAAGTACTCCCAAAATGTGCTGGACCACTGCAGGAAGGGACTGGCCATGCCCTATCCAGCCTCACCTTTACAGATTCAGTTTGGAAGGTGAAAAAAGATTGGCCACAACTCTGTTGCTTGAGTTGCATATTTTCTAAGAAAAGAAATCCAAGAAATCTTGAGAAAGTGAAATGGAGCTAAGGGTGTTTGATCCCTCTGAAGGAGAGAAACAGTACTGTTTTTATACCCTGTGTAAGTATCACAGAGTGAGGCAACACTATTTATCAACTGCCTGGTGTTATTAATAGTATACCTACTGAATGGCCAGAAAATGGCTATGAGTGCTGCAAACTTTTTAGAAAAGGGAGGGTTCAGTGAGTGCTTGAGTAATGGGATTGGTCTTTATAGGAGAGGTGGAAACTTGCCTCAAGCTAGCATTGGAAGGACCAGAAGATTTAACTAATCCCAGAGGATGAGGGAAGACATTTCAGCCCTGGAATGAGCACCAATATATACCTTATTAATCCTAGGTTTGAATCATTGTGCATGGGTAGGGGCAGACATGACATGACATAAAGGAATTGAGCAGCGGGGCCTCAGGTTTCACTTCTTAGGAAGGTTCTCAAATCTTGCCCATAGTAAATGATTAGTGGATACGTGTTGAATGAATGAGTAATATCTAAAGGCTTGTGACCACACCATAAATTTCACTTTAGGAAATAATTTATTGCTTATCTTATGAATCGGGAGTTTGGCCATTTTCTCTAAGTTATTCAGCTAACAGCATATGAAGGTTGTTATATCTCAGAGCAGAGCCAGCCTGACTTGCTTCTTTGCTTCTTTGACTTGTATCTGCTTGTGTTACATAAGCACCATGCTGCCACACCACTGGTCCAAGAAACAAACATTAGACATTGACACACTCCATGAGATTTGTGCTAATGTCTTTCCAACCATCAGCCTTTAGGCTTGCTGTGAGGCTGAGCTCTGGCCATCATTCCTTTCACGTCAGAGACTTTATGATGATGAACAGAATCTACATTTACTTAAATTAGTATATTGAGATATTACATAAATCAACAATCCCTCTCCCAACAAGGATAAAGTAGGATACTTTACAAATGAAACTGAATAAGCAGGATAGGCAAATTGGATGTGGAGTTAAATGTGTTTATTTGTCCAACAGGCTGTCTTCACAGATTTGGAAATCCTGGCTGCCATTTTTGCAGCTGCTATCCATGACGTTGATCATCCTGGAGTCTCCAATCAGTTTCTCATCAACACAAGTGAGTTCACCACCAGAACAGTCATTCCAGATAATTGTATGATTCACTGCTTAAGTTTTTTCCTCCTAATGTTTTCATTATGGATAATCACAAGGATAATAGTGAGGCAATCCTTCCATTCCTCTCAAACTGGTCAGGCCTTTCGTGGATACTCAGTCCAGTCTGGCAACACAATGTTTGAGCTGCTTGGAGAACTTGGAGAGGGTCATAGGGGAGCCATAAAAAGTACTCAAAGTTTGGCAAATACAATATGTAAGGAAAGAATAACAGATATGGAATTATTCATAAAGAACAAGAAAAGGTTTGGTGATCCCATGATAATGACTTTTGATATTATACAAAACTCTGCACAGAACATAGTAACTCACTACTGTCCCTATCTGCTTGGGAAGCAGCCACAAATGTTAAATCTGCACATGGGAACCTCCAAGCAAAAATAAGATGCTGTAAAAAGCACTGGAATGAGTTTCCACAGTTCAGAAGGAAGGGTCATTAAAAGTTCCACACATTTTCCTCCAACTGCATAGATTTGATTATGGATTGGGAGTAGCAATGACCTGAGTGACCAGGGGTGTCTAGCCTTAGGATCCCAAGCCATACTCAAAGCTTTTGTCATGCTTAAAATGTTTAGTTTTCACATCTTTGAAAATCCTTTCATTCTCTCAAATAATGCACCATCTCTAAGTGCTGGAAATCTAAGTAGTTTGAGAATATTGGTTATCCCAATGTGGTCATGAATAACATCAAGTACTGATAGTTTCCTAGAAATGCTTTTTTGAGCTACTTGCTGCAAAAGGGTCCTGATCATCAGTCCTTGACCTTTATCCAAAGAATATCTGAATGACCTAGGTTTGGAGTACACTGGATTCTTTTACTTCCTTCTTCTATTGAACAAACAAAATGTTGGGGCAGCTATGTGTCTGCATGGATTATATCAGTTGGTAGAGTGTGGTGTCATGAATCAATCCATATATAGGCCAGTTAGCCTCACACAGAAAAATGATCTATCTACTACAGTCACCCATAGCACTGCAACATATAAAGCCTGCTTGTAGATCAGTGCCCTTGATCACAGGATGAACAAAACAAGAGTGCTCATCGGAGGTTAGTACTCAGAGCACACTATTAAAGCAATGATATATGTGTAACAGAACCTGCAATTAAGTAACACATTGCCACCACTTGTCTGGTATTCTTGATTAAAATGTGGTTTCATAAGTCTGATGACCATATTCCCAAGCAGACTTCTAACAAAAGATGCCTGTGATTCTTCTATATAAAAGGCATGCTGGAAGCTGCATCTTAGGTTTCCAGATACTGCAATTTCTCGTGGAGAGAGTAAAAAGACAGAAAATTTGACATCAGAATTGTTCCAAAAAAGTAGTAATGTATAGTATCATATGAACAGAAAGCTCTAAAAAGTGATGTTATTTGGGTAAAATGAAGTTTTACATCAAACACTATCTTTGACAATCCAAAATTCACAATTGCCAGGGATTAGGGAGCATATAAAATGTGAATATAGCTTGAAAATCTCATTACAATGCATAAAGTTTAGTGGTACTTTCACGTTGTTCTTTGCCAAAGTACAAAATTTTTGAAGACACATAAAAATAGGATTTAGCTGCTCAGGAATGCCCTTACCTAATATTAAATTCTTCATCTGAGATATAGAATGAGTAAAAGGATTTTAAAATACAATGAATTTTAATCACAGAGAAAGCTTATACACCAGTAGAAGCATTTTTTGCTTACAAACTGACGACTTCTGTTTGTAGAGGGCCACTGCTTCTCTAAGAGGAAATGGCATGTGGCTGGTGGTTCTTGAAATAATTTGGAGAGAACTAGGTCTGATTTCACTTTGAGATAACGCCAACATTCAAATCATATCCCTTTTTAATTAAGTCATCATTTGGTCTGATTTTTTAGATTCAGAACTTGCTCTGATGTATAATGATGAATCTGTGTTGGAAAATCATCACCTTGCTGTGGGTTTCAAACTGCTGCAAGAAGAACACTGTGACATCTTCATGAATCTCACGAAGAAGCAGCGTCAGACACTCAGGAAGATGGTTATTGACATGGTAAGACTTGAGCCTCTCTACGTTCCTCACTTACTGCCATTCTCTCTGATAGACTGAATTTATTAAAAGTTTTCCTTTTCTTTTTACCCCAGGTGTTAGCAACTGATATGTCTAAACATATGAGCCTGCTGGCAGACCTGAAGACAATGGTAGAAACGAAGAAAGTTACAAGTTCAGGCGTTCTTCTCCTAGACAACTATACTGATCGCATTCAGGTATTTGATGAAAGTCTTTGATTTAACACAAAACCACACCAAACTAAGCTGAACAACAATTAGAAAAAGAAAACAAAGATAAATTCAGTTTTTGGTATATCCTAGGCTACTACTATAGCTGAGGGCTTAAGAACAAGCTAAGGAAAATGGACATTCAAGTTTATCCTCTAATTTATGAGGGAAAAAAAAATCCCTATTTGTGGAATTGCTTATTAGGTCTATAAATAAATTGCAAAATCTATTTGTAATAGGGCATACGTGACTGTTGGTTCCAAAAGCTTGTGTTTGGATTTAAATCCCATTGACTTGAAGTTTGTTAGGTTTGTTTTGGATATACAAATTGCCATCAGCTGTTCTCCTCTTTCCACAAGTGGAAAATATGAAGTTATCTACTTGGAGTAATTCTTTGCATTCTTTCCAAACTGAGAAAAGGAAATGATAGCAGCATCTGACCTCTAATGTTCCTTCCAATTTTTAAATTCAATGACTGTCAGTCTAAGAAGACACACATTTTCCCCTTTGGGACTCTATAAAGGTAAATAACTGACCCAGGCTAGCACCATTGTAATTCCATTTTTTTTTTTTTTTTTGGTGCATATGTCATAATTATAATGCAATTAAAATGTTCTAGGGTTTAGTACCAAGCGTACTAGTATGAGAAGGATGAGATGTTCTGGCAGTATTTACACCTAATTTTATGGGATTTCTAAAAATTGATGATTTCAGGTCCTTCGCAACATGGTGCACTGTGCAGACCTGAGCAACCCCACCAAGTCCTTGGAATTGTATCGGCAATGGACAGACCGCATCATGGAGGAATTTTTCCAGCAGGGAGACAAAGAGCGGGAAAGGGGAATGGAAATTAGCCCAATGTGTGATAAACACACAGCTTCTGTGGAAAAATCCCAGGTATCTAATATGAGATTTTCAAAGTACTTGCGAGCTCTGCTGATTGTAGAGCTGGAGGGTTCTATTTAATTCCATTTTTCCAATAGAATATGTATATATGAGACGAGAAGGAGACAGTTACGCATTTTGTTCCATTATAGTCAGGACTCATGTGACTTCTCCATTACACTCAGTTTCACAGGGTGGGGATAAGTAGTCATCAGAAACCCATCAAAATTTGGATTACGTGTCCCTAAATCATTTAGATAGTTGTCTCTGATGTTTGCAAATCCAGCTGAATGATCTGAACACTGGTATCTGCTCCATCCCATCCCTCTGGATTTCTTCTTGCTCTGTCTTCATTCAAGAGCTCTGCTCCTCACCCTTGCTTCCAGTCCTCTGTTTTTATCTTTGTCCTTCATCAGCCCACTGCAACCATCACCAGAGGCAGTCTCTTTTAATGTATAGTCAAAGCCCTGTCTTGTGTTCCCTCCCGGGATGCTTCTATGCTTTTGAGAACATGCTGACATTTTCCAGTTGTGTCCAAAGCTTCACATTCTGTGTGTGCTTAGGATAGGGGACAATAGTCTGGAGGAGGTGAATACAGAAATGTCTAGATGCCAATAGCTGCAGAATATGCAGCAATGGACAGTATCAGTATCCACACAGAGTTTTTTCAAGAAAACGAATGGGCTGAGCCAAGTAGCTGAGATTGAGAATTAGTTCATAGACTGTCCAAGATCTTTATCCCAAAAACATTTGGATTGTTTATTGTCAGTATTTATCCTCTTTCCCTACTACCTGGAAACCCCAAATTTGCATATACTTGTAATATTAATGTACAGTTCCTTTGCAATTTTTATTTTGTTGCTTCTTAAAGAAAACTAAATGAGTTTTAAAAAATCTGTGAAAGGGCTGGACACAGTGGCTCACACCTGTAATCCAGGACTACGGGAGGCTGAGGTGGGCGGATCACCTGAGGTCAGGAGTTCAAGACCAGCCTGGCCAACACGGTGAAACCTTGTCTCTACCAAAAACACACAAAAAATTGGCCGGGCATGGTGGTGTGTGCCTGTAGTCCCAGCTACTCGGGAAGCTGAGGCAGGAAAATCGCCTGAACCCAGGAGGCAGAGGTTGTAGTGAGCTGAGATTGTGCCACTGCATTCCAGCCTAGGCAACAGAGCAAGGCTTCATTTCAAAAAAAAAAAATCTGTGAAAGTGATCTGAAGTCTAATATGCTGTAAAAATACAAGTTAACATTGTTAATGAGGGTCAATTCAAATAGCCCAAAGGCTTAAGTGGAACAAGATATGAATCAGTAAGGAGGAGTAACACCATTTTATTAATAGCAGTGATGTTTTATGTTTATATGATGTTCTGTGCAGCATTTCACACGTTTTCCATATATTATCTTACTTGGACCCCCAAACAGCCTTGCAAAATAGATAAAGCAGATATTTCTCCAGCATGTCAGGTTCAAAGCTGCCCTCTTGGTCCACTACAGCAGCTCTCTCATCCAAAGCTCTTCACTCTCCATCTTAGGGACAGGTCTTCCTGTTGCCATAACATCGTTATCCACTCTGGTGTTTCCCACCGATGGGCTCTGCTGAACACCGTCTGATTGGCCCACCAGTAAAGCTCTTTACTGGGTGCTCTCAGGATTCATACAGCTCTCTCGTCCTGTGATCTAGGGAATAAATAGCAGCTACCTTGCAAAAAAATTCTCAGCATTTCTTAGCAGAAGCAAAACAAGTGAAGAAAGGAAATGACTGCACTGTGTTCAGCTTATTCAATTTTCTCCATTACCTTGAGCTTGTTATTTTGGGTCCCTGGAAAACACCTTGAAAATAGTCTGTAACATTCATTAAGTAAAGAAGTAAAAGGGAGGGAAAAGGAGGGGGTGGAAGTGAGAGAAATATCTGAATCATGTATGATCAAGTTTTTATAACCAGTGTAGATCAGAGATGCCCTGATTTTGCTGTGAATCTTGCTTTTTAAGGCTAGGAAAGCACCAGAAAGAAGAATAAGAAAATACATATATATACACACACACACAGACATCATATATATATATTTTATATATGAAAGAGTCACATATGACCAAAGTTCTTGTGTACAGTACAACTTGGATGTATTAAATGACTGGCCAAATACCAACATATTAATAAAGGGAAGTTTCCAGTAGTGTGGAAAGAGACCTATATAATGTCCCATGGGTGGGTGCCCTTTGCCCATCTACCCCTAAATCCCAACCTAGCATCTCTCTAGCTCCCCAGACCATGGCAGGGGAATTCCCTTCTCTCATTCAGCTAGTGCCTATTCTTTCTCTCTACTTGTCCCCACCCCCAGTGTTTCCTGTTTGTCCAACAATGAGGAGGCCAGCGTAAGGCCACACTGCTAGCTCATGCAGGATGCATAGCCCCTGAGTAAACCATAACAGAGCCATAAGCCTGGTATTTAATCACAGGAACACCAGCAAAAGGAACTGCTTAATTGTTTTTTATTTTCCCTTCTTTCTCTTGATGGAAATGACTGTGTGCTCTATAGATCCAAAACAATTGCATGAATGTCCATCAAGGGGATATGTGTTTCTTTCAGGGCTTAAAGTATTTTCACGTGTTTCATCAAACTCCTCTACCAGCCAAAAGCATTCCACAGAACTTGAGAAATTCCAGAGTAGTGAGGAGCCAGATCCTCATCACTTTGGAATAGCAACATATTTTAAAGTTAGCAAGGAAAAAATATTGAGTCAAAACACGTTAGACCTGGGCCTGCCTTCTTCAGAAAATGACTCACAGAATCCAAGTAGTGACAGAGTCGTGCTTTGTCTTTGGGTCCCTGGAAAACACGAAGATTCCATCCAGACGACTTATCTGGCGCACGTAAAAGGAAATGCAGTCTGTTGTAGTGAGATGAACACAGGTTTTGGGATCAGACAAAGCTGGGGCTGAGTCCCAGCTCCACCACTCACTAGTTATGTGACCTCTGACAAGATATTTAATCTCAGTAAGTCATAGTTTCTGCCTTTCTAAATAATATACAGCAATACTTACTTTTCAGGATTAAGAGAGAATACATCAATTGCATTCAGTGTGAGACCCACCATATAGTGAGTGCCCAAATCATGGAATCCATTATGATTGATCTTTCTGGTTATTCATGTTCTTTCTTTGCATGGAAACCAGGACACTGTGTTTACTTTTCAAGCACCATCACAATAACAGATGTGTAATCTTATTTTTCTCCAGGTTGGTTTTATCGACTACATTGTCCATCCATTGTGGGAGACCTGGGCAGATTTGGTACAGCCTGATGCTCAGGACATTCTCGATACCTTAGAAGATAACAGGAACTGGTATCAGAGCATGATACCTCAAAGTCCCTCACCACCACTGGACGAGCAGAACAGGGACTGCCAGGGTCTGATGGAGAAGTTTCAGTTTGAACTGACTCTCGATGAGGAAGATTCTGAAGGACCTGAGAAGGAGGGAGAGGGACACAGCTATTTCAGCAGCACAAAGACGCTTTGCGTGATTGATCCAGAAAACAGAGATTCCCTGGGAGAGACTGACATAGACATTGCAACAGAAGACAAGTCCCCAGTTGATACATAATCCCCCTCTCCTTGTGGAGATGAACATTCTCCCCTTGATGAGCATGCCAGCTATGTGGTAGGGCCAGCCCACCATGGGGGCCAAGACCTGCACAGGACAAGGGCCACCTGGCCTTTCAGTTACTTGAGTTTGGAGTCAGAATGCAAGATCAGGAAGCAAAGAGCAGCTCAGGAAATCCCACGGTTGACTTGCCTTGCTGGCAAGCTTGGTGGAGAGGGCTGAAGCTGTTGCTGGTGGCCGGTTCTGATCAAGACACATGGCTTGAAAATGGAAGACACAAAACTGAGAGATCGTTCTGCACTAAGTTTCGGGAACTTATCCCCGATAGTGACTGAACTGACTGACTAATAACTTCATTTATGAATCTGCTCACTTGTCCCTTTGTCTGCCAACCTGTGTGCCTTTTTTGTAAAACATTTTCATGTCTTTAAAATGCCTGTTGAATACCTAGAGTTTAGTATCAACTTCTACACAGACAAGCTTTCAAAGTTGACAAACTTTTTTGACTCTTTCTGGAAAAGGGAAAGAAAATAGTCTTCCTTCTTTCTTGGGCAATATCCTTCACTTTACTACAGTTACTTTTGCAAACAGACAGAAAGGATACACTTCTAACCACATTTTACTTCCTTCCCCTGTTGTCCAATCCAACTCCACAGCCACTCATAACTTCTCTCTGTTTGCTTGCCTTCAACAATACTTTTTCTCCTCTGGAGTTTAACTTTTTGCTGTAAACAGAATAAAATTTAACAAATTAGGGGGTAGAAAGGAGCAGTGGTGTCATTCACCATAAGAGTGTGCATAGCACTAAGCAGTGTGCCCTGCTGTGTCTTGGACCCTGCCCCTGACAGGAGTTGTACAGTCCCTGGCCCTGTTCCCTACCTCCTCTTTTCACCCAGTTACGCTGTTTTCAATGTAATGCTGCCGTCCTTCTCTTGCACTGCCTTCTGCGCTAACACCTCCATTCCTGTTTATAACCGTGTATTTATTACTTAATGTATATAATGTAATGTTTTGTAAGTTATTAATTTATATATCTAACATTGCCTGCCAATGGTGGTGTTAAATTTGTGTAGAAAACTCTGCCTAAGAGTTACGACTTTTTCTTGTAATGTTTTGTATTGTGTATTATATAACCCAAACATCACTTAGGAGAGACATACGGCCCCCTTGGCAGAGAGGACAGGGGTGGGCTTTTGTTCACAGGGTCTGCCCTTTCCCTGCCTGAGTTGCTACTTCTGCACAACCCCTTTATGAACCAGTTTTGGAAACAAGATTCTCACATTAGATGCTAAATGGTTTATACTGAGCTTTTACTTTTGTATAGCTTGATAGGGGCAGGGGGCAATGGGATGTAGTTTTTACCCAGGTTCTATCCAAATCTGTGTGGGCATGAGTTGGGTTATAACTGAGTCCTACTATCATTGTGGCTTTGGTTCAAAAAGCAACACTACATTTGCTCACAGATGATTCTTCTGAATGCTCCCAAACTACTGACTTTGAAGAGCTAGCCTCCTGCCTGCCATTAAGCAGGAATGTCGTGTTCCAATTCATTACGAAAGAAAACAATGAAACAATGTGAATTTTTATAATAAAATGTGAACTGATGTAGCAAATTATGCAAATGTGAAGCCTCTTCTGATAACACTTGTTAGGCCTCTTGCTGATGTCAGTTTCAGTTTGTAAAATATGTTTCATGCTTTCAGTTCAGCATTGTGACTCGGTAATTACAGAAAATGGCACAAATGTGCATGACCAATGGGTTTGTGTGTCTATGAACACTGCATTGTTTCAGGTGAACATTTGATCGTTTTCAAACGTTTCTCACAATGTATGTTATAGTATTATTATTATATATTGTGTTCAAATGCATTCTAAAGAGACTTTTATATGAGGTGAATAAACAAAAGCATGATTAGATTAGTCTGTAGGCCCACTTATTTCATGATTAGTTCTGACATATGAAAAGCAGATCTTTCTCTTCTCTTCTGCCATTCCCCACAAAGAAAGCCAACCACTTTGTCCAGCCAACATCACAACTGAAGTTTCAGAATCTATGTCCAAAAAGTCCCCCAGTTTGGAACATTTCACTTTTTTCTTAGCAACTGTTCGACCCAGCTCAATGATGCAGGAAGGGGGTTGAGGAAGGAAAACAAAACCACTTTGCTCATCTCGAACCATTTCTTTCTACCTCTTTAAGAGTCTGAAGTGCTTAATCTACTAGATAAATAAAGGGAATCCCCAACTTGGCTGAATCCTCTAGAAAACTGAATCATAGATTATAGAACATTAGTATAATGCAGTCAGAGAGTCCCATTGATTCATTTGACACATGAAGAATCTAAGGTCCAAAGAGTTATCTTCAACCACAACCCACAGAGCATGGGTGGACACTCACGGTTTTCTCAGTGATCAATGCAGCCTCTTGTTGGTCATATGGCTATGATTTTCTTTCTGGAAAGAACTGTTTATATATAAGAAAAATACTTAAATGCTTTGTTGAAATCTTAAAGTCAGCGTTTTAAAATATTTTATCCTGAGAAGAAGAGTGTGTGTGTGTGTGTGTGTGTGTGCGCGCGCGCACGCGCCTGTGTGTTTGTTGCTGAAGCTTGCAAACAAGAATCAGTGTTGGCCCATAATAATTTAGCCACAAGGGAGTGCTCTGTGAACCAGTAAGATGGTCTTCTCTAAACACAGCTGAAATTAAAATGAGCCGACACTGCAGAACCAGCTTGCCTGCTAGTTGCAGAGCTATTTCCAACATTTTCCATCATCTCTGATTTCTGATTGTGCCTCACCATCTCTGAGAGTTTGAAATTGAGCAAAATAAATTGCTTACAATAGCCACAGGTGTGACTTGTGTAATGCCTAGTGCTATAAATATTTACAGGTCTGTTTTCTACTGGTAAGAGGTTCTTAATTAACCCTTATTGCAAATAAGAATCATGTTGGAAATCAATATTTTTAAAAATACTTGTTTGGGGCCCGTCCTCCTCCCTTCAATTCTGATTGAATTGACCTTGGGTGAAGCCCTAGGCATCAGATTTTTAAAATTTCCCCCAGGCTGGAGTGCAGTGGCACAATCTCGGCTCACTGCAACCTCTACCTCCCAGGTTCAAGCAATTCTTGTGCCTCAGCCTCCCATGTAGCTGGGACTACAGGCGCGTGCCACCCCATGTGTCTAATTTTTTGTATATTAGAGATGGGGTTTCACCACGTTGCCCGGGCTGGTCTCAAACCCCTGAGCTCAGGCAATCCGCCCACCTCAGCCTCCCAAAGTGCTAGGATTACAGGCACGAGGCACTGCGCCCAGTCTCTCCCCAGGTAATCCTAATGTGCAATTGAAGTAGAGATCCACTGCTCTGAAACAGAAAATCATGCCTGCAGCTGAGGTGTTCTTTCAACCCCACTGTCATCAGATATTCATTGTGCACTCATCATGGCCAGCATATCATGCCCAATGTAGCTATTTTAAACAGTAATTTTTGTTACATCCCAGTTTTATCTTACCAGCTGACTTCTAACTAACTTCTAGGTAAGATGAAACTGTACGATTTCACTAGTTTCCTATCGGAAGTCTCAAGAACCAGGCCAGACCTCAGGCATCCAAGCTAACTAGACCCTTCATGAGTGCAGAAATCATACCTAGTACTTTCTCCTCCATTTCCATGATGCCTAGCATCATACCTGGCACAGCGTTCATGCTTAAACATTTGTTTCATCAATCTGGATGTTGATGATGTAAAATTTCAATTAACAGGAAGATCAGAAGAATGCACATTCTAGGCAATTTAACTTTCAGCTTCTCTCACTTGATCGTAATGATCTGTTTTCAGATGTCTCTCCACCCAGCACTGAACCCTCTCCAAGATAGAACAATGTTTTTTGCCTGGTCTCTTTTTTAACCTTGGTATTCTTCATCAACAAACACTATACCAGCCCTAAGCGAAAGGAGAACTGGTGATGTTTGTTGAGCTAATGACCCAAGAAATAAGTAGAACCCTTTTATTGAAATTACTTGTGAAATTGGATCTACTTGGTTTTCTTGCTGACGGAGTAGAGTACACTGGGAAAAGCATAGTTTGACAAACCTGTATTCCAAGCCTTTTCCTGTACCTTCCTACCTATGGGGATTTGGACAAATTTCTTAAATTTTTGAGCCTAAATGTTCTCATCATTAAATGGAGCTAACAATAGACAGCCAAAGATGAAATCAGGCATAGTGTTACATACAGTAGAAGCTCAATAAATCTTTGTTATCTAAGTGTATGTACTCATGGATGAAGGGATTGATTAATATTTAAAAACTTGTAAAAATCACCTCTAAAAGCAGAAGGCAACAACACATTTTGATTAGTTTAGGGTTCTTGAAATCAAGTTCCAGTTAATCTAGATTTTTCTACATAAACTTCAAGATTCTGGGAGGATGAGTGCTGTCACTTCAACCCATCATATGGGACTATGCTGACACTGATAGGCTCATTGAGTTGGAAGAAAACGTGTAAATCATATTATTCTTCCTCTTCAATGCTATAGAATCCCTCCAAAAATATACCTAATTGAAAGCATCAGGAAATAGATAACTCAGCAAGGCCTTTTGAAATAATGTAAATTACTAGGTTTCTGGGAATCAAAGTGTACTCTTCTAGAGCAGCCTTTCTTGTTTGATTTTTTAAAAACATTTCTAGCTAAATATTGTATGTAATTCCTCCTCTAATTTCTTGTTCCAATTGAAAATAGGAGCCAGACTTTTTGACTATGTGACCTTGGGAAAGTTTATATGGCCTCTCTGCACCTCAATTTCCTCATCTGTAAATAGAAGTAATAATAGCAGCACCTATTTAATAAGATTATCTTGAGAATTATATTAATTAAAGCTGTAAAATAGTAAAAATAGTGTCTGGCTCATAATATGCATGAACAAATGTTAACTATATATAGCTAAAGGTAGCACGCTTTCTACATTGTAGCTCCTTCAACCAACCATTATGCATATGACCTGTCTTCATCATTATGGTCAAATTATTCTGGGCTTGTTCAAATAGACAGTGCTCTTTTAGGATGAGTGCCTCGGAAGCAAGCACCATACTTCACTCATCGTGGGGCACAGTGTGATTCTTGCCCTTCTTTGTTCTGTACTCTGTTCTATAATCCAAGATTGCATTCATTTGGAGGGACGTCAGGGACTCACCCGGATAATTCATAAGATGCTTACAGGCAAACAAAACACTTCATACCTTTTCACATGAACCACTGTTAAACTAAATCTTCTCCACTTTGTTCTTATACAACTAAGTTTCTGAATTTCAGGGCAGAATTTATACTTCTCTGATACATTTCATCTGAAAAACAAGTAGGGTATAAGAAAGAGGGTTTTCAGTTTGAGTGTCAGATTGACCTATTTGTAAATCCCAGCTCCAGAATTACCTGTACAACCTCATAGAAGGTATGCAATTTATTTTACCTTCAGTTTCCTTTTCTGAAGAAGAAATATTTTATATATATAATAAAATATATATAAAATTTTAATATATAATATATATTATATATATTATTATATATATAATTATATATTATATTTAATATATAATAAAATATATATAAATATTATATATAATATATTAAATATTATATATATTTTATATATATATAAAATTATATATATATATATATAAAAAATTATTTGGAGGCCAGGGGCAGTGGCTCATGCCTGCAATCCCAGACTTTGGGAGGCTGAGGTGGGCAGATCACCTGAGATCGGGAGATCGAAACCAGCCTGACCAACATAGAGAAACTCCCTCTCTACTAAAAATACAAAATTAGCCAGGCGTGGTGGTGCACACTTGTAGTCCCAGCTACTCGGGAGGCTGAGGCAGGAGAATCTCTTGAACCCAGGAGGCAGAGGTTGCAGTGAGCCGAGATCACACCATTGCACTCCAGCCTGGGCAACAGGAGCAAAACTCTGTCTCAAAAAAAAAAATTTGGAAGGCAAAGGTAAGCATCTAGCACATTCAGGGCATACAATAAATAAGGGTTATTAGTCATATTAATACCCTACTATGATGATTAAATGAGATAATATGTATATGGGAAAAATCCTCATACTATTGTTTTAATTCATTATTTTTGGCTTAAAAATTATTTTGAATTCTCATCCTGATAGCTCACAAACTATGTCCTTCCTACCAGAATTTGTTATCTATAGATAATAATGTATTTTATATTTTTATTTACACTTTAGTAAAATGTTAACCAGAACAAGACAAGGAATGGATATGTGTTAAGCTGCCAAAAGTCTGTCTCATCAGCATTGATCCATTAGTCAATGTTCCATGGGCAATGGCACTAAGTCAATTATAAATTCACCTATGTATACCATCACCTAGGTCGGTCTGGACAAAAACATATCAGGAAAAATGTGATCAAAGACTTTTCTGAAATTCAGATATACCATATCTAAAGCATTTGCCTTCTTAGTATAATCTATTAGCCCTAACTATCTGATAAAAGAGACTATGATAGCATGACTTGTCCTTGGGGAATTAATGCTAGTTACTGCCCTCACAAATGGCCTACAAACCATGAGATAATAATCCATTCCAGAATTTTGCATACAATTGATGTCATGCTTGACATTTTGTAGTGCTGGACTCTTTCTTTCTAAAGAGTGGGAAAATATTTGCCTATCACACATCCCCAGATTTCTGGTCTGTTTTGTGTTCTCTTTGATTTCTGATAGATCACCAATTATAAGCCAAAAACACATTGAAAAGCCCTTTCAATATCTGGGAAATCATATGCCTAGAAACATGAAACTACTTAAAGAACAGAGATGCTCTCCTAACTGCCCTTTGCTTTACATGGCAAGCCTAGCAGAAGCACATGATACTTGTGCACACGTATATAAGTTAAAGACTCATATTCTTTTAACTGAGTAACACTGTCTTCTTCCACCAAATACAGTTTCAAAAAGGATCCCCATGGAGTAGTGAAGGATGACAAGGGAATCTATCTCATTTGAATGGGTTCTTTAGAACCTACCACTGATTGATTCAGTAAACATGTACTGAGTCCTGAATACTTTCAGGCACTGTTCTAAGACATTGTCCCTATGTCTTAAGTATTGGAGTATGTAAGAAAATGGATGTACAAACAAAAACCTTCAGTAGCAGTATAAGAAGTGCTGACTAAAGAAACACATAGAGAACACAAAAATGGGAGCATCTAACTCCTTTGGGAGCATAAATTAGGGAACATTTCTGATAGAAGGACAAGGTTGAGTCTTTAAGAATGTGTAGAAAGCTGTCAATGAACCTGGATCAAGAGACGAAGAGCAGGCAGAACTTTGTTACAGCGGGAAGGGACAGCATGTACAAGGTAGAGAATGGGAAAGAGTATTTTTGAGGCCCATTCATACACTGATTTATTTCAAAACTATTTATTCACTACATACTGTGGCCCAAGTATTCTACTAGACCTTAAGGATACAGGGACATACAAGCAGAGGAAAGCCCTATTCATTAAATAAAGCTGCAGTCAAGGAGACAGATATTAATAATGTTTTTAAAAGTGGATGTGTTATTAGGAACTGGTACAAGTTATCCAAAGGATGGAAATATACTAATGTGAGACTAATTTTTAAAAATCACCTTGGCTAATTTGTAAGAAAAAGGGAAGGGAGCCCTTTCTGACTGTAAAAGCAACTTGTACTAAAGTCCTGTAGTGAGTGTGAGGAGCAGGGCATCGAGGAGGAACTGAAAGCTGACCAATTTGACTTGGGGTAGTGGAATCGTCAGAATTGACGCTGGTGAGGTGGCACAGGCCAGGTCCCACAGGACCTGGTGGACTATTACAAGAATGGGCTCTTTCTTAAACATAATGAGTGTCTGCCCAAATTTTTAAATGGGGAAATGATACGATCAGATTCCATTTGGAAAGATCATCCCAATTGCAGTGCAGAAACAAATCTTAAGAGGGCAATAAAGAAAGTGGGAGATCTGTTAGCAGGCTGTTGCAGTTATCCAGCCAAGATGAGATGATATCTTGGACTAAAGTGAGGCTGAAAGATGGATATAAATGGATGGATGCGGAGTTATTTAGGTATTGCATTTATAGATCTTAGTGATGGATTCTATTGAGAAGAAAAAGAATCAAGACTAGATCCTGAGTTTTTGCCCAATATGACTAGAAAGGCAAAGTCATTCTCTGAAAAAAGGAAACACTGGGAAAGTATTAGTTGGCACAGAAGCATGATTCCAGTTCTGAGTGTGTTGATGTGAGTGGCTTTGTGACACCAAAGTATATGTGAAGTAGACAATGGAATATGACCATCTGGAATTCAAAGAAGTCCAGACTGGGAATTATCACAGGGATCATACGTAAGGAACCTGAAGCCATGACATGTCCCAGGGAGAGAGTGTGGAATGAGAAAATCCGTGAGAGACAAGACTAACACGTCAGGTACTCTATTAGTTCATAAGAGAACACAAAAAGATGGGCATGTAAAGGAGATTGATAAAGAGAAACCAAAGAATTAGTACAACTACCAAGAGACTCTGGTTTCTAAGAAGGCTAAAAAAAGAGTATTTAAAGAAGGGAGTGGGTCACAATATTAAATCCTTCTGAGACATTATTTTTTTAAAAAAAGGAAAATATTTATTTTATTTAGAAATATGAATATCACTGATGAACTTGGAGTGATGGCACATTAGCTAGTTTTTAGTGAGTAAAGACTAAACAAGAGGTAAGGAAAAAAATAGAGGCAGTGAGAACAGATAAGAAGTTCAGGTGCAATAAGGAAGATTGAGCAGAGTGCTATCTAGGAGAGGATGAGAGGTAAGGGAAACTTTTCTTTTGAAAGTACTAAACATACTTAAGAGCTACTTAAGCATATTTTAATGAAAATGGAGAGCATCCTGCTAAGACAAAGCAATTGAAAACAGAGGAGAGAGATTGAATCATTGATACTGGCTGCCTGAGAAGCAGAAATAATGTATTCCAAAGCACTTGCAGAGGGATTAGTCTTGGAAGAACTTTCACAGTGTTGTCACAGGGCTATATGCATAGACCTACCATATGTCATGGTCTTCTTGATAATATTATGTTAACCTCTGATTCTCTTGCAGGTTTAGAAGCGGCAACACTTCTGTTGCCTGAGATTGGAATGATGTGACTGAGACTGCCTTCCTGGCAGCGAAATGGGCTATTCGGCAGGCACAAGTCCTGTGGTAGTTGACCAGAGGTGCCCGTTTGAGCTGGGTGTGCATGTGACCACAGATGGCTTCAGCTGGGGCCTGTGGCAGTGCATGGAGTGCTTGAGAATAACAGTAGGCTTTTACTCCCAACTATGGAAGGGAGCTGAGCTCTGGTATTCCTCGAAGAGAAATAGCTGGCAGCTGTATATGCCGCCCTTCATGCTTGTGAGAGTGTGATAGCACGGGCTGCAGTCGTCATGCAGATAAGTTACCAGACAGTGGGATGGGTAATGATGCATTCCCGGGTAATGACCCCCAGGATTGGGACAGCACAGACATCCACTTTAGCAAAGTGGGGTGCCTACTTAGGGCAGTGGAGTACTCTGAGTACAGGTCCCTTAGCAGCAGAGCTGCAAAAGATCTCAGGACCTGTAGTCCCAATGCAAGATAAGGCCATGGGGCCTAAGGCACCCCCGCCATTCCTGATGGGTCATAGTCTACAGATAGGTCTAGCCAGGGTGCTACTGCTGCCTGGACCACTGTTGCAGTCCAAGTTAGTATTGACACCATATGGTTTGAAAGCAGGTGTGGGCAAATTTGCCAATGGGCTGAACTCAGGACAGTGCGAATAGTGATCACTAAGGAGGTGACACCTACAGTAATCTGCACCGACAGCTGGGCAGTTTATCAAGGCTTAATCTTGTGGTTAAATACACAGAAGTTACAGAAGTGGCTAGTTGGTCACCGACCCATGTAAGGCCAAGCCATGTGGCAAAACCTATGGGAGGAAGGATGACCTCCTCTGACCAGGTATGGGGATGAACAGTAACATGTTGTTGCCTGCCCCAAGGCCCACAAAGGTAGGGAAATTAAAACCTGGCTTAATGTATAAAGCAACATTGGGGTAGCGTCACCATGGGGTGGTTACCTGCTATAACTTAGAGTTGTTGCCCCCTGTATTACTACTGCGGTCCTGGGTCCAGGGTTCCTCTCTGTGGGTACTTTTCCCCACTAGAAAAACTCTCTCAGCCTTACATTCCCCTCCCATTCCCTTGGGGGTGAAATGTAAGGCCTGTGGGTCAGACCTGTGTGTCTAGGGCCTGTGTGCCTACAGCTTATGTATAAGGTCTATGTGTCAGACCTGTGTG